CTGTTTAGTTTTAATTTCTTGTACAACACTTATGAGATGGGCAACTATAGACATTGTGAGTGTGTGTGTGTGTGTGTGTGTGATGTGTAAATAAATGTCTTTTGCAAGCTATGCTGGATTAATCCCTCAGATCATTTCCAAAAGAAGCAGCAGCAGGAGGAAACCCCTGAGCAGAAATACTATATTAGGACGACGGCTTAGTCTAATATGAGGCAATCAAGGATATTACCAGAATACTCCTTGTTTAATTGTGTGACACACCAACTTGTTTAAAACAACCAAATGTTTATCCCAGCCTTGCTTTGATCAGGGTCCATCTGGATAGACAGAACTACAAATCCCATAATCCCCAGATGACTCAACCAAGAGTCTCAGCTGCAGTGATTGGAAAAAAGATGATTATGTAGTGGCATGTGTGCATATCTAAGCCCAAATGCAGCGTCCTACAAGCCATGGAGCCTGCGGCCTCTTGCCCCAGTTTGCCATTAGTCATCTTCAAGGCAGGGAAATTTGGGAACTAAACTAAGGCTGCTGAGCTTTGCTCAGGATGACACTGATAAATATTCAAGCCAATATCTTTCAAATGTTATTGTGATTCACCTTCCCCTCCTTCCTTCCCCTGCTTCAGTCATCTTGCTGGCTCTGAATTTTTTTACTTTTGTCTCGAACCCCAGCTGTCTTCAGTTTATTGCAGATGACTGCTATTGTCTTTCTCTTTTATCCGCTTCACTGTGTCTCATTTTCCTAAAGTACCTGGCACCCATTTTCCATAACATTGTTCCTTTGTTTCAGGAAAAGCATAATTTCAGGGGACAGCAGAAACATAGTTCAGAAGGCCAGGAGGCGACATCCTCTCTCACCTGATCTTTATTCATATCTGGTTTTAATTGCATTCTTTTTTATTTTCCATTTCTCAAGCACCTTGTAAACTCCCTTCCTCCCTGACAGGAAGATGCATTTTGTTTCTCATAAAATTGCTTTCCTATGGCATTTCTATTCTTCAGAAATGTAAGGCCCTCTTGGCCTCTGGTGGCTCTGTCCTACGCGTTGAACTGTTGGCCTTCGTGTAGCTTATTCCTGTTACAACTTGATGTTATTCTTTTTCCTCAGCTGCACTCCCCTTGCACCATAATGGACTTTTAAAATGTTCCATGGCCATTGAGTTCAGAATGAATGTTCGTAGGCATATGTTTAACACCACAGCTATGTTTTTCGATTCTTTCTCACAGCTAAGTTGATGCCTCCTTAGCAAAGCAAATTTTCTCCAGTTCATTCAAAATGCAAACTATACAAATATAATTATTCTATACTACACTACACTACACAATACTACATTGCTACAGAGAGGAAGGAGTCAAGCTATTTTGCAAGGCACCCGAAGGCCAGATAAGGAATAATGGATGGAAATTGATCAAGGAGGGATTTAACCCAGAAATAAGGAGAAATTTTCTGACAGTGAGAACAATCAACCAATGGAACAGCTTGCCTTCAGAAGCTGTGGGAGTTTCATCACTGGAGGCTTTCAAGAAGATTGGAATGCCATTTGACAGAAATGGTGTAGGGTCTCCTGCTTGGTGGGGAGTTGGACTAGATGACCTACAAGATCCCTTCCAACTCTGTTAATCTGTAAATACTACACTACACTGTTATATATCAGTCACATTTCTGTATTGCCCATCTCTCTCACAGTGGAACCTTGGGCGGTGTACAATTAAAATATATAAAAGGTATATATAAAAGGTTTTATAAAAACCTTTTATATATATTGTTTTAAAATATAAAACAGCATATGTAAAAGGTTTTTATAAAATTAAGAGGCAAGTGATTAAAATTAGTTAAAAGGTGAAGGAAGAGCTTGCAGAGAACTAACCAGTCCCATGTCTGCATGTGTCCCTGGGCTCCGCATAAGAGGCTACAGAGCCATATTTTGATTCCTTTTCAAGAAGCAAGCATATTAACATTGTGTTTGCACAGAATATGGTTTCTGTGCAAAAGTATATTGTGGCTGAAAAGCTGTCTCATTGGTAAACTCATAGAATGCTTCTTGTTGTGTAAATTATCCAGCTTTGTGTAGTGGTTAAGGCAGCAGGCTAGAAACAGGGAGATTATGAGTTCTAGTCCCATCTTAGGTATGAAAACTGACTAGGTGACTTTGGGCCAGTCATTTTCTCTCAGTTCAACTCACCTCACACAATTCTTGTTTTGGGAAAATAGGACGAGGAAGGAGCATTAGATATATTCACTGCCTTGACTTATTTATAAAAAATAATAAAGGTGGGATTTAAAAAATCTAAAACAAAATAAGTATTTGTACTTTAATGAAGTTCCACTAGGAACAAAAACAGCATGGGAAGTTATGGGAAAACATAATTAATTTCAAATAGTGGTGAGTGTGGTTGGAACTATCTTTAAATTCCCTAAATATATAGGGGGACAGTGCAATAAACATTGGAAATACTCACAAATTACCCTTGTCTACAAAGATTGTCATCTTCCCTACTTCCTTTCCCCAAATTTAGCAAAAGGATTGGAAATTTCTGAGTTCTATTTTAAAGTCAAAATGTTGAGACAATGAGCAAGAATATTGAATATTCTTGCTCATTGAATATTGAATATTGAATATTATACACATGTATGAGAGCCAGAACAATTTTTTAGAAGAAAGTAATACATTAACTTGCCTTTGGCATCCAGTCAGACAACACTTCTAGTGCCAGTAGTTATGTCTATACTGTGTCCTCCATTTTCTTTATTTTTGCTAAGAACATATGGAGGACAGCGGCATCAGCTTTCTATTATGTGAAAATTTGATGGAAAAGATGGAAGAATTTGTAAGGTCAAGAAGAGGAGAAGAGGACCAATTCTTTAGACAAAGGGAACTAAGCTTTCATGGTTTTTATTTATGTAGTATACAGAGCCACAATGCTGCTGAAGTCAAAAACAGCATGGAAATAACTCAAAGATGAACAAAACAAATGGTGACTTAACAGCTGCCCCCTTTGGAAGACAACTCCGTAAAGTGCTGAATACCTCTGGTGTGGTTGTTTTCAATAATCAACAGCTTATTTTTCTAATGGGGCTGTCCTTGACAGAGACAAAGAGCTGTGTGTAAGGAATGACATATTAACCGTGACCTACTCATTAGTATCCATTCAAATCTTTTCTAACAACTGTACATCTAAGCAAATCTCCTTGGAGTATTACACAATTCAATTCTATATTCAACTCGTTTCTATGTCTTTTTTAAAATGAAGATATCTTTTCAGTATATGGAAATGAATAATACAGGTATAATGAGTGGCACCTTCCTTCCTTCCATGACATGCATGACATTCCACTCCAAAACATTATATTGCAAGAACTCTTGGATTTTACTGTGCAAAACTTAAAATCAAGAAAGAATACTTTTCTTTCAGCATACAGCCAAAGAACTTGATGTGATCTACCAAATAAATATTGTTATCGATTTCCGATGCCAAGGATACAATCCAAAGCAAATCAAGTACTGTTAGACTTCACTGATTGCAGTGTACAGTTAAGACTGCGTTTAATTCAATGAATGTAATTTAGAATACTGGTGGGTTTAGCCTAGAGATCCACCTGGCAAAATAATACTTCCAATTATTTAAAGAAATTATTTTCCGTAGTTAATAGCTTCTTCATTATTAATTCCTTAAAAATAAAAACCAGAAATATTAAATCAAAGGTAACCAAACATGCAAGGAAACTTGCTTTAATTCAGAAACTCTTTTGCCTAGTTTATTTTCCTTAAATCTTTTTCATCTGTAAGATAAATGTGCCCTAATATAAATATGGAACATTCAAATCTATTCAACTGTTAAGATGAACTCTGAGAGTCTACAATACTAGATTTCTGAAATTCATCCGAACATATATATTAGGTCAAAACTTATGTCTGAGCTGAGTTGCCAGTTCAGTTGTGAAGATGTATTCCATATGCTTTTATTTACTTGATCCCTGATAGGGCTGGTAGGGCAAAATGGATTTAATATAGCATGACAATTGAGAAGCTGCTGTTTCTGATAAAAAAGGCTATTATGAACTTCTAGCCATCTAAGCACTGAATGTCATTTTCACACTTACCAGCTGCCCTTGCCTTTTCTTATCACTGTTTTCCTAATCTGTTATTGAAGACACATCTGTGTTGCTGTCACTCCTTGTCTTTGTAGATTTCCTGGAAGACTGATAGATTTAAAATGCATTCATAAGTGCCGACACGCTGAAAAGACTTTGCAAGTTTTATTTACAGCTTACTTATGGCACTAAATTGTATATCTGTGTTTCTATCTCAAATCTATGTTTCTATGTCTCAGACACACAAACATTTGTTTCAAAAACCAAACCATCACTGCCTGTGAACTTATACATCATTGTACATATCCAGGATCAGGGCTGAGGCCAACCAACAAGTTGCTTTTTAGAAACATATTTAGCAGTCTGACACGCAGCGTCATTTTTACAATTCTGTATGAAAAAGTTGTTTCATCATTAGAATTGTTCTGATACTTAATTATTTAATTGATATTAAACTTAAACCAAATTTTACTGCAAAACAACCCTATAAGAGCCAGGGTGGCACAGTGGTTAGCGTGCAGTACTGCAGGCTATTTCTGCCGGCTGCCTGCAATTTGACAGTTCAAATCTCACCAAGCTCAAGGTTGACTCAGCCTTCCATCCTTCCAAGGTTGGTAAAATGAGGACCCAGATTGTTGGGGGCAATAGGCTGATTCTGTAAACTGCTGAGGACTGTAAAACACGGTGGAACAGTATATAAGTCTAAATACTATTGCTATGTGCACATCCATTCTGTGCACTAGTTGGCACTTAATGGACTGAGAGGCTCTGCTCACAGTCACTCATGACTTAGTCACTTCCTGATTAGACTATTGCAATGTGTTCTACTTGGAAATGCCATTGAAGAGCATCCAGAACCTGCAACTGATCCAGAATGTAGTAGTGCAGTGCATGGAGTTCTGGATACATGTCCATGTAATACCAGTTTTGTGAGTTGCACCAGGTCCCAATAGCCTTCCAAATGCATCAAAATGCTGATTGTCAACTATAAAACCCTGCATAGCACAGGTGCAGATTACTTGCAAGACTGGTGTCTATAATGATGTCACCCATTAAATTCAGCAGGAGGGGCGTACTTCTGTCAAACATTATTAGTTGTTTGGACCCAAGAGATACAATTTTGCAGTACCTGCCCTATGGAACAGCCACCTCCCAAATATTCAGATATTCACTGTTGGAAAACAAGATGGCTACATATTAAATGATCACATAAACAGAATGTAAAGCAATTAAAAGGAATATAATTGTTGGAAGTTTTTTGTTATACTCATAGCAAAGATATGACCTTCAACTCAGTTCTGTTGCATTCCCCATTTTTTTAAAATCAATTTCTGCCTGTTAATTGTAGCCATGGCTAAGTCATCAAACTAATGCCTTGGGAAATCTGACACGAGTAATATCATTAGTAGTATTTAAGTTGATTTAATAACATTAATGAAAACGGTAAACATTACCAGAAAAATAAATGATCCACTATATTCTGGTGCGAATGAAGTGTTAGATTATTCTACTGTTCTACTAATGCAGCTTGACAAATCTAATTGGCTTCAGAAAAGCATTACTGACTGAGATGACAAGGAAGGAGAGAGAGTGCTATAATATTCCTTAATAGAGAGATCCATGCTACATAGGAAGCTGCATTTATTCTGTAAAATGATGGCCAGTCCTAGTTTAAGCATGGATCAGCTATTTGCTGGATTCACATATAATTTTCAAAAATATTTTTTGAACATAGCATAGCTTGGATCCGTATATTTATATGCATTGATTTCAACTAAGATTAAGCCACAAATATTCATTCATTCATTCATGTTAGCCTGCCACAATGACTCTACTGGCAATAGGGTTACAACCAGTTATTTCTAGTAAAGCATTTACAGTATCAACAATCTCAGTCAATAAAATGATCCCAGGCAGGGGTGGGATACAACAGGGTTAACTACCAGTTCGGGATTTATGAGCTTTCCTGCACGCTGGGAGCTGCGCGCCTGTAAATCACCATCAGCATGCTGTGTGCAGAGATGCAGCCTTTGAAACAGCCCTCTTTTCCTGCTTTTTTAACTGCAGCTGTGCCTCCTTCGGCAGCTGAAGTTGAAAAATCAAGCAATAAAGTTCAGGTAAGAGCCCGGCTGGCGGGTGGGCAAAAACATCAGCAGACATAGAACCGGTTCTGTGTCTGCTGCTCTTCAGAGCTACTGGTTCTACAGAGGTGGACAGAACCGCTAGAAACCCACCCCTGACCCAGGTTATAATCACAAAATCACATCAAAAATGTAAGTTCAAACAAGAACATAATTAAATTATTGCACTTAAGCACCAAATTCTGACAAGAAAACTGAAGAGATATACAAATGCAAATATAATCATGCTGAATACCTATTAGAATCCGTTAGTTTTATGTTAATTGCCCTTCATCAATGCCACTGATTTTAATTCTCCTAAAACTGATTTCTGTGTTCTTGGGAACAAACATGTACGAGCAATCTCATTTATGGCTGAAGTTGCATTAAACTACAATTTGCTATTATCATGGTTTGTTGACTAAATCACTATCAAATCAAATGACATCCCTGCAATTTAATAGAAGGTATTAAATAGTCTGAAATTATTTCCTTTTGATTCGATCCTATGCATACTTCCTTAGAAGTAAGTCCTATAGTGTTCATTGGATTTATTCCCAGATTAGTCTGTAAAAGGTCACAGCTTCAGTTTAATATTAGTGTGTGATTTGGTGGGGTAAGTATCATCAATGAAACAGTATTTTTCCTTCTTTCATTAATGGTTATTTATCCATAGACTTATGGATTTGTGTAAAATAAATATGTACATCCTGAACTTTCATCCTTACCTAATTGTCCTCAATTGCTTAGAAGCACAAATACTTATTAGAGCTAACAATTTCTGTAACGGAAGTACAAATTCCTGTTCCCAAATGAATTAAAGAATAGCATAAAAACTTTCTATGTGGGTAGTGTAGGAAGAAAAATCCAGTTCCAGTTCCAAGCTGGAAATAAAACGGAGGCTGCTTAAGAAAGATCCATTTATTGGTGAACAGAACCAGCACACACACAGCATGCAGTTTTGGGACAGCTGACAAAATGGAGTTGAGAATAGAGTGGCTTTTTGTACCTTTTTGATTTCTATGGGGTCATGTAGGGCAGGGGTCCCCAACCACCGGGCCGCGGACCGGTACTGGTCCGTGGATCACTTTGTACTGGGCCGCAAAGAAAATAAAAATTAAAAAATGGCGGCTTTCTTCGCCTTCGGTGAATGCTGCTGGGATCAGGGATCAAGGACACAAATGAAAGAAGGGGAGGGAGGAAGCAACCAAAGCCTGTCCTGCTCTCTGGCTCAGCGGCTTCAGTTTCCTCCCACCTCGTTCCTCTCTCAGTCGCTCTCTCGCTCCTCCACCAGCCCAGGAAGAAACTGCTTCAAAGAAGCCAGCAGGGTGGCTTTTCCTGTCAGCGCAGCTCCTCCGAAGCGCCCGTTCACCCCTACCCCGCCGCCCGCGCATGGTTCAATTCAGTGCTCCGTTCTGCCTGCCTGCCTGCCTGCCTTCATTTCTGGTTGTTTGGGAGCAGCTTCGGCTGAGAATAATAACTATTCGCCTCTTTTTATCAGCCGAAGCTTCTCCGAAACAACCAGAAACGAAGGCAGGCAGGCAGAACGGAGCACTGGATTGAACCGCGCACAGGCAGCGGGGTGGGGGTGAACGGGCGCTTCGGAGGAGCTGCGGCGACAGGAAAAGCCACCCTGCCGGCTTCTTTGAAGCAGTTTCTTCCTGGGCTGGTGGAGGAGCGAGAGAGCGACTGAGAGAGGAACGAGGCAGACACTTGAGGGAGGGAGGGAGACACCTGAGGGATGGGGCTGAGGAAGGCAGGGCCGAGAGCCGTGGGCCACCGCCACCCAGCGCTCAGTTTTGAAGGCACTCCTCAGCCCGGCGCAGTTCCTGAATCTGCAGCTGAAACCCTCCGTTTTAAATGTCCCAATAAAAGAGAATATCTGTCGCTCAGGGTTGCAATGAGGAGGCATTGGCGCTCCCTGAACTTGGTGGTTTGCTGGCAGACATTTTATTACCCAACTAGGTAACAACATCAGATGTTACCTAGTCAGGTAATGAAACGTCTGCAAGCAAACCACCAAACTTGGACTCTCCCCCCCCGCCCCGGTCCTTGAAAAAGTGTTTCTGCTTGAAATGGGGACCACTGATGTAGGGGTCATGGCTGGCTCTGTAGGCGAAAGGGGAAATGCAAATCTTAGGTGTTTTCTGAGCTAATCTTGTCTTGTCTAATTGCTTATCTGGAGTTTCTATCTGACATAGTCTTTCTGAATGGATTACCAAATCTGCATTTCTAAAAGCTGGCCTCCTCAGTTTCTGCTTGGGGCAGGGAGACTGGTGCTGGATTTTTCCTCCCTTAAGATCCCACCCCCTATTTTTCCTTCAGGGGAAATATTCCATCCTGCCTTTTTAATATTCCCCCAAATATTTCATTCTCTAAGAGGGTGGGTGGGTGCTACCTTTCTACAGTAGCAAACCACCAAGAACAAATCCAGTATGCAGCAGCTTTCTGAGTATAATATACACGTGCACTTATCCATGAACATGAATAGTCTGCTTATTCCCATTTGCATAGCTGTAAAACAGTATGCGACCCTTTCAACCCTTGAAATGAGCTTTATATGTAGATGCTAACTATTAGTTAGCATACAAAGAACACAGTTAGCTCCTTTATCCTATTGGCTGGTTTTATCCAAATGAACTGTCAATGGTTTTAAGACCACATCATATTTGATTTGTCAGCCCCACCACTAGATGATTCTACAATTTTATCAAATTTAGATACTGCTCATCTCACTCTCAATTAGAAGGGATATTAGTTTAATTAAATTTCAATAGTTAAACTGAACTCTTTATCTGGCCATATCTATGTTTCGTCAACTGGAACCCCTTTCAAAGAAAGTTGCTATGTGCTTTTTAAACTTCCATAAATATCACACGAATAATATTTTACTATTACTCTATTTTATTGCCCCCCCCCACATTTTGGATCATAACCAATTCGTATTATTACCCTAATTCGCCTGATCAGACCGCTTTTATTTCTATTCTAGATAGGCCCAGACCCCTAGACAACAGGACAGCTTGCACCCAGCGCGATGCCAGCAGGAGTGATTTGGTTTTCGCACAACTTTACGGGCGCAAAAACCCAGCCATTGTGCACGATTTTAATAAATGGCGGGGAAGCAAAGGAGACGCTTGGGAGATGCAGCAACCCTGTCTCGGGCTCCTGCAATTGCGCCGTCGAAAACTTTTCCTTCCAAAGGCACCCATCTCAGCGGCACCCATCGCCTCTAGGACCCAGCGGGCTCCGGCGCACTTTTTTCAGGGAGCCGGCGGCTGCCGCCGTTCATGCCCATGTATGTGCCGCGGTGGTTGACTCGCTTGGAGCCGGGCGCTGCGGGTGGCGGGCGCTCCATTAATAGCCCCGAGAGACGCGCCGCCATCCCGGAGCCGCGTTGCTTGAAGGCAGCGGCGCCTCTTCCCACATGGAAGGGCTCGAGAAGTTCCAGAGCCCCGGGAAGGGCCGGGGCCTGCGGGCGCTGCGCCGTTTCGTCATTGGGGAGCTGCTCTTCTCTTGCCCGGCCTTCACTTGCGTGCTGACCGTCAACGAGAGGGGCAACCATTGCGAATGCTGCTTTGCCAGGTACCACGCAGAGGGAAGACGGGCTACCGGCCACCCTGAGAGGAAGAAGAGGCCGAGGCCGAGGCCGAGACCGCCCCCTCCCCCTTAGGTCCCACCACGATGCGATGGTCCCTCGCTTCCGGGTGGCTCCCGAGAGATGCGGGCGGTGGCGGGGGGGGGGGGGGAGCTCGAAAGGCCTTCGTGGAACTTGCGCCTCTGTACTTAAAATAAATAAATAAATAAATCTCCTCCTCTTCCCTAAACCCGGATGTTGGCGGTGGGCTGTGGCTAAGTGCAGCCGCTTCCCTCCTTCACCTCGTGTGCTTAATGCGGTTGTCAGACAGACAGCAGCTCCACAGGTACCCGCCCCGTGTTGTGGGCAACCGCCTAGCGCTGTTTTGGCGTGTAGAAACTGCGCAAGGGGTGGGGGTGGGGGGTGTAGAAATCAGATTCAGAATAGAGCTGGAAGGGACCTTGGAGGTCTTCTAGTCCAGCCCCCTGCTCAAGCAAGAGAGCCTAATACCATTTCAGACAAGTGACTGACTGACCAGTCTCTTCTTAAAAACCTCCAGTGATGTCGCACCCACAATGTCTGAAGGCAAGGGTTGATTGTTCTCACTGTTAAGTTTTTCCTCAATTGCAGGTTGATTCACTCCTTGATTAGTTTCCAACCATTGTTTCTTGTCTTGGGTGCTTTGGAAAATAAATGGACCCCCCCTCCTCTTTGCGGCAGCCTTTCAAATACTGGAATACTGCTATCATATCACCCCTAATCCTTCTTTTCTTTAGACTAGCCAAACTCAAATCCTGCAACTATTCTTCATATGTTTTAGTCTCCAGGACGTTAATCATTTTAGTTGCTCTTCTTTGCCCTTTTTCCAAAGTCTCAACATCTTTTTTTGTAATGTGGTGACCAAAACTGGATGCAGCATTCCAGGTGTGGTCTTACTAAGGCTTTATAAAGAGGTACTAATACTTCATGTGACTTCTATGCCTTATGTTTTTACAACCAAGGATTTTATTAGCCTTTTTGGTTGCCGCCATGCATTGCTGACTCACGTTGTCCACTCAGTGAAGACAGGTTCCTGGTCGGCAAGGGAGGCACAGGTGTTCTGAACAGTTTCGGTCTCACCTTCTGCAGTTGTTTCTCTTGTCCCGCAGCTGAATTGTGGACCTAAAATGAGACCCAGGATGTAATTTCATTCACTGCCTATTTCTTGTATTCTTCCTTTAGCCCATGCCATAAAGAATAGTCCACATGTCAAGTAGGACAAATAAGCCGGTTTGGAATAGTTTGAGTTGATTTTGGTGCCTCAAGTCAGTGCCAACTTTTAGCAACTGCATAAATAGACCTTGTCTAACACAGCAGTCCCCAACCCCCAGTTGGACTGACATCGGTCTGTGGCATGTCAGAAACTGGACCACACAAACAAACAAAGCCCCATCCGCAGGATGCCGGCAGCACACAAAACATGCCCCTTCTGGTCCATGGAAAAACATCTCTCCACAGAACCAGTCCCTGGTGCCCAAAAGATTGGGGGGCGCTGGTCTAGGATGATCTATCCCCAACTGGCCCTTTTTCTGGTTTACCCATCACCACTGTAATAGGGTCCAAGCACTTTTCTGTCAGTCTATTTTTTTCCAAATTTCCCCACATTATGATCTCCAGAAAACTGAGTCATAGCATATAAGTGAAGCCTGGTCACTTATGCCATGGGTTCAGAACTCTGCAATGGGTTTATTCTGTTTCATTTGTTTGAGGGTTGATCACAGAGGATCTCAGCAGTCTTCTCTAACACTAAAGTTTAGAAACTTCAGGAAAAAAATATTGTATGCATGATTCTGATCTTTGTATAAACATGTTACAACATCTGAATATCTTTTCCAAGGCTTTCATTGCTACTTATTTAGTTCTAGGCTTGGTGCATTTCTTGCTGCTTCCTTTACTTGAATCAGTCAACCATTTCTATATCTTCATTGCTAATTCTAAGATTTACAATCTAAGTCCCATTTTTATCACTGTGTTCCTTGACATTCATTAGTTGCGCTTGCAGATCATTCCCATTTTTAGATAATAAAATATATTGACAAAATAATATTTTAAATGGGCTCATCAGCATCGATTCTCCAACCTCTTTTTGTGTTTACTTTGGTGCCTGACAGTGTCCAATTATAGAAATTAGTGTGTATATAAAGTCTGCAGGTATTTGATAAATTGGACACAATGCTTGAGGACAAAATGACACTTTGAGGTTCATATATGGCAGCTAAAACTTATTTCAGTGTATAAAATGAAAGTGCCTATCCCATATTTAAGAACAGCAGACAACAGTATCATTTGCTTATGATGGCTTGATGGGTGGGAGTGGCAAAGAACAGTCTCTATGTGGAGTTATTTGCAGTAAGATAAACTATTGAGGTTTTGATCTAAGGATGTCTAACTCCATTGACTGGGTTCCAGTCCCATTTTTTTTCATGTTTAATGCTTCCTTTAATGGTCTTGCTTGGATTTCACCAATCCTTTGGATCCACCAAGACTCCTACAGAACTTTCTAAATCAGAACAATTTTTAATGGAAACCTGAAAGTGTGATTACTTAGCAACAAGTCTTATCCGGATAGGAACTTGATGTAAGAGATGGGATATCTTTTATATTTTCTTGTCATCTTGTTTTCCCAATTATTTGCATAGCCTCACTACTAATAAAAGTGGGGACACATGGAATATATATATTAGGGCCTAATACAAAGTTTAGCAATATAAATTAACCAAAATAATATAAAATATCTTAATATATGTTATTATAAGTTGTAGTGATTAACCAATAAAAATAAGAAGCAATAAAGTACAATTATATTCTTAATTTTCTCTAGTTGCCTCTGCCTGTCCAGGCTGGGCCATCTTTGAGTCCTATCAATTGAAGAATGACATCTTGAAAGATCCTGAAAATATACTCAGTTGCAATTCCCACCCTCTAGATAGAATGATTTCTGTGTTCACACCCTTATTTTATCCAGGAAATTATTGAAGACCTAGTTGTTCTCCCAGGCCTTGGAGACAAGGTGACTGTGAGCCCTTTTTTTCTTTATATTTTTCTTTGCTTTGCTTTGTTTAGGGCCTGTTTTTTATTTTGCTCTTCTAGTCTGTTGTATTCTTTTTACATATTTTTTTCTTAATTGTAAGTCAGAATCATTTGAAAGTCAAGTGGCCTAGAAATAAATAAATAAATAAATAAATAAATGATCAATCAAATAAATAAAATAGTGATTAAAATGAGCAAACATGTTAAAAAAGAATCCATTCAATATTAAAATATTAAAATATGATTATCTTTTAATAGTAGTTCATATTTTTATAGGGAATTTAAACTTGCAATAAACCCTTATATTCATTTGAGCAGCCTGGATTTTCTTGGCACTTGACATGAGCCTGAACTACTAATGATCAAAGCAAATTGACGGTCGATAAGAGTCAATGGAATTCAAGAGAGGCTGGACTTAGATCTCTTGGGAGTTCGAAGGGACTCAAGACTGAGGACGTGTTTGACCCCTCCCGCGGGCTCAACCTGGTCATCTCTTACAGAACTATTGAGCAGTGCATTCTGTGCTATGATTATTTTATTTATGTATAAAATGAAGCTTTATTGTGAAAAAAATCTTGTAACATTTGTAGCTTAATAGATGGATTAACAGGAACATAATGCCAAAATGTAGATGTGTGAAAAACTTATTGCTTCCATAGGTATAAAGAGGCAAAGTAGCAGCTAGATATTGCTAATCAAGTGCTCTTGATCAATTAATCATCAGCAAGTGTGACTATAAAAGCCAAAGTTTTAGGTGTTTGCTGGTTTCCAGCATTGACGTGTAATGTTAACACAATGCCAAAGAGTAAAGACATTCAGCAAGGATTTTAGGGAAGCAATTGCTGCTGCCCATCAATCTGGGGAAAGTTATAAGACTATTTCCAAGCAATTTAAAGCCCATCATTCTACAGTGAAGAAGATTATTCACAAATGGAAAACATCCAAGACAGCTGCCAATCTGCCCAGGAGTTGGACATCTCAGCAAATTTATCCCAAGGTCAGACTGTACAATGCTCAGAGAAATTGCAAAAATAAAATCAAAATCCAAGAGTTACATCTCAGACTCTAGAGGTCAAACATGTTAAAGTCCGTGACAATACAATTAGAAAAGGACTGAAGAAGTATGGTTTGTTTGGAAGGGTTATCAGGAGAAAGGCTCTTCTCTCTAAAAAGAACATGGAGCACATCTTAGGTTTGCAAAGTTGCTTTGGCTTTGCTGAATCTGATGGCTTCCAATATTTTCTGTGCATTGTTTTAAGTCCAAGGAATCACCATGGGGACACAGCTTAGTAACAGCACTGGATATCATAGAGGAAAATCATAATATTTGGCAATGTTATACTTAGGTGATAAGACCAGAAAGTGACTCTTATTAGCCAAAGTTTTTATTTATTTATTTATGTATTAATAGTATAAGATACAGAAATAAAAAAGAAAATGAACATAAAGATAAAATCAGAAACTTTTCTTTTGGGTTTAATGGAAAAAGACTTGGGGAAAAAACCCTGGAACTTTAATGCTGTATATGTTGGTAGCAAGATTACATTATGCACAAAAACGGAAGGACACTTTGATTCCAACAATGGATGAATGGCAGCAGAAGTTGATAGAGTTAGCTAAACTTACTGCTTTGACGAAAGACAAAAATACAAAATACTTTTGTTTCTACTTGGAAGCCGCTTCTGGACTTTATGCTTGAGGTGGGGGGGAAATGAAACTTTGATTTTGGATTTTACCAATTAGATATATTTGTTGGTATAGCAATGGCTAGTTTATACTATTATGTAAAAGTAAAAAAAGTTGAGGTTGATATTATTTTGTTCTATTGCACCAAAGGAAGTCAGAAGTTAAAGCCCCTTTCCTGCCCCTTTCCCTCTTCTATCTTTCCTACTATTTTCTGTTGTATTTCTGTACCTTATACTATTAATATAAGCACAGAAAGCAATTCTTGAAAAGTAACTGGAAATAAAGAGCAGAGGTAGATATAATTTGGGGGCTGGTGACTTGCTTAAAAACTCAAAAGCCCATGGGCACTTTCACAGAATGGATCTAAGAAAAATGTCAAGTAGCAGTGAACCTAATAACCATCAAGAGAAATATCTGCAGGTGGAGTGGTGCCCATGGGCCGAAAACTGCCCACCCTGGCCTGGAGAATAAACCTCGTCTAGGGAACTTTTTATAATTGTAGAGTTGTAATTGCAGGAATGTTCCAATCTCGGATGGCAAACCTCAGATAAAGAATGTTTCCAAGCAAATACAACTCAGGGAAACAAAGTCACTAATCTAAAGGAGGATTAGAGAGAGGAAGTAAACATATGTTAGACTTTAACTAGAGATAATTAATTGTATTAATTGCTGTGCTAAACAGTAACAAAAGTTAAGCAGTAACCAAAGTTAACCAATGTTTGAGGATAACTAAAAATGTGTATAAATGCAAGACTAGACTCCAATAAAGATCATCATGATTCAGTTGTTCATGATCAAACAACTCGACTGCCTCGTCATTACAACAATAATAATGATGATTGTTATAAGTAACTATCAGGCTGCCTTTGTCCTTATAGGGTTTACTCTTTTATTTTGTTTTTTTTTGCATACTGCAGTATTAATGGCTGCTATTGTCGTAAAGAAAGCATGACCATTTTATACTTACCTCTGTTTAGGAAAGAAGGTTTGTCTCGGTGTGGAAAATGTAAGCAGGCTTTTTACTGCAATGTAGAATGCCAGGTGAGTAACTCAAGAAATGTGGATTTTTTTTCTTAATGCTGTTTCTCCAAACATCTTCTGTGTCAGATGATAATTTCCAGGTACTGTAGTTTGTAGAGAGAAACAGGAATTGAAGACTTCAGTGTAGCACTAAAGAAGGCTGAGGGAGTAAGGGGGAGTAAGGGGATGCTGTGGATCAGTGGGTCTGGTGGAACTAAATCAAGACCTGAACCATTCTAGGGATTTGGAACATTCCAGAATACAGTATTTCTCAGCCTTGGCTACTTTAAGTTGTGTGGACTTCAACTCCGAGAATTCCCTTGCTTGCTGGGGAATTCTGGGAGTTGAAGTCTACACAGCTTAAAAATTGCAAGGGTTGATAAACACCACTATAACAAGTCACTGAGGATCAGCTGTGCTGGATCATAGGACTGCTGAGCCATTAGATTAGTTGACTGATACATGGCCCTAATTGCTTCAAAAGCTTCTGCCTACTTTTAGGGAACCAGATGGTTTAACGTTATTTTACTAAGCTGATGACGAAGCTTGTGCCTATCTGAGCAATCAGAAATAAAGACTAGATTTAGCTTGTGTGTATGTGTTTGAGAGAGAGAGAGAGAGAGAGTGGGTGGGGAAAATCTGTTTGCAAATGTGCTTCATTGCTGCTAATAATAATAGTATGTGTTTATAAACCAACTGTGCCTGGCTAGGTAGTTTTATAATATTACATGAGCAGATATTAGGCTAATTTTGAATATTTATTACCACTTAAATATTAGAAAGCATTTGTGCATAAAACAGAGGTTTTTAACCATAAGTTAAAAGTGTTTTTCAGTTTATAGCAGTCCTACATAATTGTTGCATGTGCATTTCCACTGCCATCTTGAAGATTTCTGTTTATATTCCAGATTTAAACTAATCTATGGAGTCAGTTTGGAATTAATTTAAATTGCTAAGAGGTTATATGTCAGGAAAGTAAAGTCTAAGAAATCATGAGGAATCATATGAAAAATTGAATTGAATCAGGCAAAATTATATAATCATAGCCGGTTTTATCCTAGAAAGATTGCTATACATTGTATAGACTGATACTTTTGTAATCTTTGTTATGCGTATACTAACTAAGATGCCTTATTGCTACTTTTAATAAATGAATTGGAATCTATGTATCTTTTCTCCTCTTGAACTAAACAATGAACTGAACTGAAACAGAAGCAAACTTTGCTTTTCTTCATTTGGGGCTGGAATAGTATGATGCACAGAAGCAAAACTGACAGTAGAATATTTAAGCAAGTAAAAGGATAAACACAATAAATTGTTAGCTTATAGAGAAATTAAACTATTTGAGGAAGCTAAAATATATTAAAATGTAAAGATACTGGGGACAAGTGTTTGCAAATGCTTGGGCAAATATATAATGTGTTTATTGTTATTATTTATTGTTATTTATTATTATGACAAAAACTGAGAAGAATTTGTTGTCCTTATTAGAATTGGCGTAGAATGAGAATTTCTTGTGAAATTTTTTGTTTCTGTTGTTAAATCACCAAAACTGAGGTAGTTGCTTTTTGGATATTGCCTGTTTTTAAATACTGCAGATAAGCTGGTTGACTTTGGTGTATCTGCATGCTTCTTACTTATTTCACTGTCTGGAAAGTTTCTGTGTATTGGTTTGCTGAAACTGTCATTTACTGCAAAATGTCAAGCAGTACAGCTGTAAATACCTCAGAAGAAGTAATTCTGTTCTGATTGGTAGGTGTGCAACAGAATTATATGGACTGAACCAAGACAAATTAGGAATTGGGAGGATTAAAACTGTTTTGACTATCCATATTTTTCCAATGCTCGGGAGTAGCAATATGATTTTATCGTGAATTGCATAAAGGGCCACGGAAGAGTCACAGGCATATTTTTCTTGATAGCTTTATAATACGGAGAGATGAATATAGTTTCACAATGAATGTAGTATAATAGCAGTATTTGAAAATGAAATAAAAATTTAGATTTGAAATCATCTGAAATAAAAGTTATTTCATCTAAATTTGAGACTTCCTTCTTTCAACTGGATATACAAGTCATTTAAGACCAATCTACTCCATAAACCCTGAACAGTCATGCCTTTTGGTTTGTTTGAAAACCGTAGATTAATTCCATTCCCAGCTTTAATGCTCTGTACCAGAACAATTTGCAGCATCCCCACCATGTGGTATTATTGGGGCCTGATCCCTTTTAGTGTTACTGCTAGCTCACCGTGATTAAAGGCAGAAGTAAATTAAGTACTTCTGGGGAATCTGTTGTTCTGCTGAGATTCCTTTTTCCTAAAGGAAAACCCACCTGAGGCCATAATTATCCTGGTCAGACCAGGGCTCCTTATAAATGTGATAATTTATTTGAAACAAACAAAAATAAACCCCCCACATTTTTTTGAGCATGCTGAAAAAACTTACCTATTTGTAGGAGGTGTCTATTTCTGTTGTTTGTATAAATACATGCCTTCATTCCTAATTTCATTTTGAGAGGGGGTGTTGTTCAGATGCTTTAGGGTTTGTGGAGTTCTTGTTCTGAATAGTCATAAATATACATTGTAGTTCATTTTGAGTTGGTTTGTTCATCTTCCCATCCATATTTTAAGGGGTGTGTGGGAGGGGATGAGGGAAAGGGAAAAATTGTGTATCTTCTATTCCTCCTATGGCTTTTCAATAGGTTACTTTTTGTATATGTATAGCTATTTGAATCCCTACTCAGCTTGTAATTATTCTGAATAAATTAAGTACCTCTGGGAAATCTGGCTGAATCTTCAATAGTAATATGGGTGATTAATTAACTTGCTTCTGGTATAGCACTCTGATTCTAGTTACAAAGCAAGCCGGTAAACTGTCTTCCAAAAAGGAAGATTCTTCCACTAGGATTTTTGGACACTTAAAAGTTGAAGGCAGATTAAGATTTATATGAATCCTTAAGATGTGCAATCATATAATAATTTCATGATGGCCTTCTTCCAGATATAATGGAAATTGCATGGCTTTATTTGCTATAGTTTCAAAAATCTTGATTGTCTATATTCTGAGCTCAGAAATATGCTGAGCTATGATATGAATAAGAGCTATATCAGGTTTAAAGAAAGAGTAGTTTATAAGGTTATGGCTTGGAGTCAGTTAATTTATGTTTAATGCTTATGAGCATAGTGAATAATTATGAGGCAAAACATTATGCTGTCCTTGTATCTGAGTCTTGGTGAAAACAAAGCAGGCATCTATTAACTCCTTTAAAAAAAAAAAAAAGCACCATAAAATAGGTACTTTCCCTTATTTTTAGGATTAGCACCCTTTTTATCCCCAATTGTAGAAATAGAAGAAATTGAGCTGGGCGTTCAATCCTGCCAAACCTGATGATATGATGTCATGGGCCTTGTCCCTTGCCATTCAAAGGAAAAGGCTCCCAAATTAAATTTGTTTGCAACTGCATCTCTAGTTTATACAGCTATCTTAAAGTCATATTTTCATCTTGTTCAGATTTTGCTGTTGATTGGTCTTCATTTGAGTTTGGAGAGGATAAGTCTAGTTCACGGGTCTTCAAACTTGACAGCTTTAAGACTTGTGGACTTCAACTCCCAGAATTCCTCTTCCAGTCATGTTAGCTGAGGAATTCTGGGAAGTCCACAAGTCTTAAACTTGCCAAGTTTGAAGACCTTTGCTCTAGTTCTAGGCCATTGTAGGACCTTCTTGCTCCAGGGATGGTAATTAGTACCTCAGGCTGTATGCATTGCTTTTAAGCTATGGACTACATTCCCTCATTAGAAAGTATGTTTAAAGTGTCTCGTTCACCAGGATTTTAATTTAAAGCTATCAGTTAAATTTAACATTAACTGGGGGGGGGGGGAGGAAAAGGAAGAAGAGGAGGAGGAGGTTGTTTTTGGATTGTCTTTTTGAATTTTGCTAACTGTCTTGAGCACTTGTGAAAAAAAGTGAAAAAAAGATAAGTATCAAGAAACATTATTTTTTGGACGTGGCAATTTTTATAACTTATGTGGTTTCACAATGATTTTCACTGTACTATGGTATATGATTTAAGATAGCTTGTCTTTTAACACTCAACTTTCCAAAATTACCAGTGCCCAAAGTAGTAATATGTTTCAGGCCAAAGAATTTTAGATCTACTTTTCCCTGTTATGTTTCCACTTCGGAGACTGATTAACAGTACTGAAAATAAGCATTCTTGTTTTTGTCCCATTGCATCAGCCCATCCCAGGGAAAGTATGTTGCAGACTTTGTCAGTTAAAGAACTTCAATTGGCAGATCAAGAAAGAGAGTCTTCTTTGCCACTGTCCCCGCCCATTGGAATCTTCTTCCTCCAGGGGTGAAACAGGCCCTACTCTGCTTGCCTTTCAAAAAGGAATCAAAGTATGGCTTAGCCATCGTGCATGGAGAGCAGGTGGCTAGTGCCCTGAAAGCCCTCACCTTTTAGTTAAATTTAACTGTGCTTAATCATCCTTGCCTCCTTCTAAAGCTTTAACTTTTATATACTGTTTTTATATTTCAACATTTTATTGTACACTGCCCAGAGTCCCTCTCTGAGGGAAACGGATGGTCCAAAAAAGTGAAAAATAAATTCTAAAGCTCATCTCAGCTATATGCACTGTTACTTCTCCCATGTTCATTCTATTGGACCTCAATAAGTAAACAGTAACCCATCTCTTTTGGGTTCAACTTTAGCCTGGTTCTTCCCATCCAGGCCCTTGCTGCCTTCAGTCACCACTCCCAACTTTGACTCTTATCACTGTGGCATATTGGTGATGTTCACAAACAGGCTTTTTTTAAAATTCTCTCCCCTACTTTTTATGTACGACTTATTTTAGGTGACTTTTCCTTTGGTCTTGATGCCTCTGAGTAATCTAAAATGCATAGGAGACTTCGAAAGGAGATATCGACATAACCACATTTTAGCTTTGGAGAACTTGATTTTGTGTGTGTGTGTGTGTGAACATCCGATAAAGTTCTGTTCCGTACATCCTTAACAGATGGGAGTCATTCTGAACACCACAGCAGAGACAATTCATGTTTCCCCTTCCATTTTTAAAAGGCAAATGTCCTTTCCAGAAGTTTTCTGATTGTAATCTTTAAATCAGAAAGAATTGTTGGCTGCCCTTCCCCCCACCCCCTTTTGAATCTGGAGTATCCTTACAGCATTAGAGAGTTGGCTAGAACAATGCTGCCTGCTATCAATCAAATGGCTTAGAGGAATGGTGGAAAAGAATGTTAAATGTGATCCTGCTGTGATCACTAAAAAGATCTCTGTCAGAATGCTTCCGTGCCAGATATTATGCAGACACTGTTCCCATATTCCTGCAATGTTCCTGCCTTTTATCTTGTTTTGCACAATTCATCTATATCTTGTCCCTTTAACCACCTTACTAGTTCATATAACTCAGTTGGATTCAGCCTGAGGAAAAATTTTTAATTAACTATGCTTAAAGAATAAAGGGGTCAGAAGGGGATGTTGGAAGGACATATTGGCATTGTCAATTTTGCATCTGTCTTAACTGGGCATTTTCTATGCCTATGTGTGTTAGTAAAATAAGGCTGTTGATTAATTGTTTAAAGATTATCTTCTACCTCATAAAAGTCAGCAACTCCTCAACGGTGTTTTCTCTCACATGTATCTCACATATTCAGCAGTTTTGAATAGGGGTTTTTTTTTTTAGCTTTAATCTCTGATGATTACTTCTTTGGCAAATATAAGTGGAGATCACTGGGAAATAGTTTCTGGAGAATAGGATTTTAAGAGATCATCCAAGATTTGCTTCAGTTCTGTGTTGTGTAATTTGTAGCAAACACAGTCATTTCATAGATCAACCAGCAAAGGTGATCATAACTTGGTTTCTATTCATGGCAATGGAAGAACCAGGTTAATTTGGTCAATGACATTTCCCACTCTAACCTAGATCAGTTCATTCACTTATTGTACTGCAGGTAGACTCTATGTTTTTTTAAGTATTACAAATCTTATAAATACATATGAATTTATGTCAGAAAAGAGGATATCTTTACCTTCAAATTTAATCCCCCCCCAGTGCTATCTTTTCATTGTGAGGAAAACAAATTTCATGCATTTTCAAATTGTATGTTTAATTCTTTAGAAACAAGATTGGCCATTGCACAAATTGGAGTGTTCTGCCATGTGCGTATTTGGACAGAACTGGAATCCCTCTGAGACAGTCAGACTCACAGCAAGGATTCTTGCCAAGCAGGTGAGCTGGTCTGAAATATTTGTTTTGCCTTGCTTTGTCTAGATGGATAGGAAAGAAGAAAATAAGTCTGTCAATAACAGATCTCTGCAAAATTTATTTCCTAACTTCTTGCCTATAACTATTGATAGTTTTTTTGCTGAACCTCTGAATAATACATTACTTAAGAATGTTTTAAAATGTTGCATCTTGAAATAATCTCTGTCTTTCCTATCTGCCAAGTTGCCTCCTAGTGCCCCCCCCTTACAGGATTCCATAAAACATGCATCTGGGTTTGAGAGTACCTGCTTTAGTCATGCAGTTGAAATTTTGAGCCTGTTGTGGTCAGTTTCTCTACAAATCTAGTTGCCTGGGAGCTAATGTTATTTTTGCGTCACTTAATACATGAGTTATTGAGAAGCATGCTCCCCAAGGTAAAGATAACTATTTTCACTAGGAAAGTAGAGGCCTTTGAAATGACCTTTGTGACAACCTGTCATTGCCAGCTGGGACATCATAGCTTGGTTTTAAATCAGAATTTAAATCAGATTTGAGAAAATAGACTAAAAGGTAGATATGGAGCTCAGTCTGATTAGATCACTAAAAGTAATAGTCTAGCACCGTGATGGCGAAACTATGGCCACAGATGGCACGCAGAGCCATTTGTGCCAGCACACGAGCTGCGGGCAAACTTACCTCACTGCGCATGTGTGTGCCTCACAGTTGATTTTTGGCTGGTTTGAGACCTTTTTTGGCCTCCCAAAGGCTTGAAGAAGGCTTCTGCAGGCTTCTACAAGCTTTGTAGGCTGAAATCTAGCCCCGTTTTGTCACTTCCGGTATTTCAAAAAAACAGGAAGTGATGAAATGGAGCTAGATTTCAGCCTATAAAGCTTGCGTGTGCATGTATAGGGGACGTGGGGGGGTGCACATTGCCTTCTGGGTGCTGGCACGCAAGAGCGAGTGTGCACGCGCGTGCACAATTTTTGGCACAGGAGCCCCAAAAGTTTAGCCACCACTGGTCCAGCAGATGAATGAGTTTAATTCTAGAAAAGCTGCTTTATATTTGGAAAGAGAAACAAAAGGGGGGGAAAAATCCCTAGAGACGTTTATACTAACTATTTGGTATGTGATTTTCACTGTCCCATCAGTCATATTTTATGTAACTTGGGGATTTTCCTTTTCTTTACAGTTCAGACATATAGTGAAACCTTATGAGTTTTATACTTCCATTGATGGGGCACATCCTGTATCAAGTGGCTTAACAAAGATGAAACAATAGGAATATTGTGACACCAATGAGTCCTAAATTAGCTAACACGTGCTTAATTTGTTTTAGGATTAATGCATGTGTTGCCATAGGGTGACCCAGTTTGGCTTTAACCTACTGAAATTTGCTCAAAAGGAAACAGTTTCAGAAACACTGAATCCAGTGTGAAAAAAGTATTATATCAAAATATGCCTTGAACCTTCTTCCTTGGTTTCGAGATAACTGCATGAATGGGCATATCTTAGCCGATTTCACCAAGCAAGGATAGCAGTTTAGAAGCTTAGTGAGAAGAGAGGTAAGAGAGAGCACAGATAATAGAAATAACCTCACTTCTTGCTATGTAGTTATTCGATTGGTGAGAAGCATGCCTCAGAATTTGTTCCCAGGGAGAATTTGCTTGCTTGCACATTTCTAAGTGACTATATTGTACTGCTATTGCACTTTTCTAGCATACCCATCTTTGCCAATAAACAAAAAATTAAACTCCCTAACCATGGCCTTTGAAGAAAATCTATATGTCCGAGAATTGCTAATCTGACAAGAACAATCCAGGTAGAGTATAGAGAAAGGATGCTGAAGGCCTGCTGGCAGAGTAATCTGACCGATTCCCTCCTTCTCTGCTTCTTTCTTTTCTCTTTCCCCCTTTCCCTTTTTCAAATTGACCCACAAGCAAAATTAGATGTTTCATGATGAAAAGTCATTAGAATAAATTTGGGCTTTTATAGCTTGCAGAGAATGGAAGGGGGCCCTACGTGTAATATGAAAACTAAATATGCAAACGAAAGTCTCCAAACCTCAGCTGTCAGGCCACCTGCAAACTCACATTTAATGGCCAAGATTACAAAGGAGTGGCCTTAGGCCAATGCTGGAGTGTTGCTTTTGAACTCTTGTCAACATTGAGATTATTCATTTTCCTCAAAGCAAAGTCTGCCTTCTGACTGCTTCCTACTCTTAGCTGGGTGGGTTTGTTTTTTTGTTTTTTGTTTTGGCAAATTTGCAACTAAAACAAGGGAGAGTTCTTGAATCAGTCCTTCTATATGTATGTTTGGAAATTCCAGCATGAGTTCTATGTCTCTTGATGGCTTATACTGTATATTGTAGGAGGTCATGACAGGTAAACCTGAAAAGTTGTTTATCCCCTCCTCTGCAGTCTTTACAGGATGATTGTTACAAGTGACAATTGCAAATAGCAGAAGAAATATTTTGGAGGTTTTTCAACAAGTCCTTTTCTCTCCCTCCTTTTTTTTTTGCACCATTACCAGAAAACACACCTGGAAAGGACTGAGTCAGAGAAAATCCTTTCTATAAAAGAATTTGAATCCCGTAAGTAGAAATAAAGGAAACAATATGTTGATTTTCAAAAGGCTTTTCAGGGAAAAAAAAAAGCTTACTAGTTTTTCTACGTATATACTCACTTTGTATCTATTATGGATTGGATGGAGACAGAGGTGAGGAGCAAGGAATATCCTCTTCTTGCCAATCTTTGCAAGAAGCTCCTTCCGGGCCCTGCTGCCTGGACTGGGGCATTGTGAGAAAAAGGAGACATTTGAAATATTGGCAGAAGCATCTTCTGAATATGGAGCAGATGAATATGAACTGCTGCCTATTTTCTATCATCTCCCCCTTTCCGCTTGGTGGGTATCCACAACAAACTATGAAAATCCAAAATGACAGTACACATGAGAGATAACACAAGTTTTAGCTTTTGTGTGAGTGGGTCCCCTCTTGTCCCCTGGACAATCTCCCCCTCCACTTTGCAAGGGTTCCTGATCCTTGGAGCATGTTAAAGCATCTCTGTGGGCTGATGGGAGAAAGGATAAAAGGAAAGTAATTTTCTCTTGACTCTCCTCTACAGTTGGATATCTGGATCTAGTCCAAGAGTTGAAGTAATCCAACAAGCAAAACTATTATTGTTGATCTCTTTGATTTTGGTATAGCATTAAATATAAATGTATCCATTTTGGATTGTTAACCATTGTTTAGACTAGTGAGCCCACACCAGTTAATGGCTTTTTAAACAAACTGTTCTTAAACTATGACTTGCTGGGTTGGTTTGAACAGAGCCAATGAAGAGCAGAGTAACCCCCTCCCCTGCCAGATGATTCTCCCAGATGTTATAACTCTGGGAAAGATAACCAAAATTCCAGCTTATTAATTATGTCATTTCTATTTGTCAAACTATATTCTTGGCCGAGGGTAACTTTTGTGGCTATTACTATTGTAAAATTTTAAACAGCCAATTTTGATGCCACAAGTCGTAAAATTAAGAGATGGTTTTGTTTTCTGATAGTGTGTCTGAAGCTAATTGTAGGGTCCACTAGTATTTGTTGTATATCATTGCCATTCAGTTTTGACATCTCCTTCATGATTTCCACTTTCCAAATATCCCTAAAATAAACTAAGGAAATAACTGTGATTAACTCTTTATGTATGTGGTGGTGGTATTGTTGGAGAAAAACCAATAAGGGAACTTCTGAGTGTATTTTTCCTATTTATGGCTTTCATTTTCTTCTGTCTTCTCACTTGGCCTTGCAGACAAGATGAGTTTATTTTTTGTAGTACTTCAGTCTCCACACAATTCATTATAGGTTTGCAAACCCAGGTCAAGTGTGCAGGGACATGTTCAATAACATACCATGGGCAAGACAATGAAACAAAGAAAACAGGGTGTGTTTATTGATAAGCAACAAGAACCTAGAAATTAACATACTATGCTGTACTTGTCAAAGGCAAAATCCCCCAACTTTCCACTAATTCTAACTGACCAATTTCTTCTTGAACTCTTCTGAATGTGATTCAAGGTGCTGGTGATGACCTGTAATATCCTTCATGGCACAGGATTAGATTATTTGAGGAATAATCCTCCCCCCCAGCAAAAAAAAAAAAATTACATCTACCCATCCCACTAAGTCCATCAGAAGAGGAATGCTTTGAGGTCTATCATCTGGGACTCTAGGAAGAGAGTCTGGTCAAATAGAACAGGTCAAATGGAGAGTAGAATTGTGTCTGTGCTACCAGGCTTGGGGATCTGGAGGTGCAGTAGAGCCTATACAGTGGTTGTGTTGAGTGTAGATTAGACTTTTTTTTAGACCATGGCTATGGATTCTGTTACTTAGCCTTTTAGATGGTTTCATGGCCTTTTTATCTGTTTTAAGATTGAACTTTGTTCTGTTGTAGTTTTTAATTTGTAAGCCACCCAAAGTCAATAATCCGAAGTACGTAGCTATATACATTGAAATAGTAAATAAAAAAGCACTAACACAGAGTCAAAACTATCACATGCTTGCTAATGAATGGCTGCCATATAATACTTAAAACTCTGGCAATGCTCAGAAGCCTGTGCTAAAGCATGCGTGTTTGTGTGAGAGAGAGAGAGAGAAAGAGAGAGAGAGAAATAATCAGAGAAAACACCCCCTCCCTCCACATTTTCCCATGGCAGACAAAGAAATAAAGCAACTGTAAAGAGGAGAAAGCAAGCAAGAAGAGTTGTCTCTTCAATCAATTGATAAGCTTGCCTGCTCTGGAGAATTAATGAGTCCCAATCAGGAGTTCAAGGGAAGCTCCTTGGGCAGTGAGGGTTATGAATTCAGGTCAGATTCATTTGGGGGAACAGTTAGACCTTCACACAATTGAAGAACTTTCACTTTCAATTTGTGTTAAATAAAGGTATCCCTGTAGGAAAAGGGCCCAATGCAAATATTTTAAATGTTGCTCAAGCATATTATAACATACACTCAAGTAATTATTCAAAATGTTTTTTTTTATTTCTAGCTTTACTCATTTAGACATTTAGAACTACTTTAATAGATGTCTTCTCAGATGGCGCCTCTTAAGATGCTTTCTTCTTTAATCACAGTTTGAAAAAACAGCAACAGATTATTAGGCATGTCATTTTTTGCACGATTGAAGGCATTTTTGACATGCGGTTTTCAATCACTTTCAAGTCCTGAATTTTAAAATCTGAGCAGTGAGGTTAGAGATTGGGATTTCCAATCCCATTTTAGGGGCAAAGCCAGTTGGGTGATTTTGGGTCAATCACACACTCTCAGCCCAAGGAAGAAATGCAACTGTAGGTAAAGATAAAGGTAAAGGTTCCCCTTGCACATACTTGCTAGTCATTTCTGGACATCTCCGTGGTCATGTGGCTGGCATGACTAACTGCTGAAGGAGCACAGAGTGCTGTTACCTTCCCACCAAAGTAGTCCCTATTTTTCTCCTTGCATTTTTACATGCTTTCGAACTGCTAGGTTGGCAGAAGCTGGGACAAGTAACGGGAGCTCACTCCATTATGCGGTGCTAGGGATTCGAACTGCCGAATGCTGACCTTTCTGATTGACAAGCTCAGGGTCTTAGCCACTGAGCCACCATGTCCCTAATGCAGCTGTAGACCATTTCTGAAATCTTGCTAAGAAAACTTGTCTAGGTGTTCATTAGGAGTTGAAACTGATTCAAAGGTACATGCACACACACACTCACATATAGAATTAAAATGTCCTGGATATTACATTTTTGCTGATAATTACTCATGTTCACAAATCCTGGACAAGGGAAAGATTGGAATAACATTGTCCATTGCAGTAAAAGAACAGTACATGTTCTTTCCATAGACTGTATAATATCTGGAGCATGAGTTTACTGTTGACAACAAGTGATCATTATAATATTTAAAAAATGTCCTTTCCTTCATAGATCTTGATAAGCTTGACAATGAAAAGAAGGAGCTGATTCAAAATGATATCTCTGCTCTTCACCACTTTTATTCGAAGCACATAGACTACCCTGACAATCAAGCTCTGGAGGTACTTTTTGGACAGGTAAGGTGGTTGAAGATAAAAGGGGGTTGTGGATCCCCAATGGCACAGGAAGTATGATTGTATAGGTACAAAACTCTGTTGTAATTTCTGCAATTGTTTCTTGGCGGTCCTTCAGTGTGGACTATGGCTGCACTGATTCTTCAATATTGCAAAGATACGATTTAGCAAAGGGGGTAAAATCATGATATGTCACATGATGACACCATGAATAGAATAGAATAGAATAGAATAGAATAGAATAGAATAGAATAGAATAGAATAGAATAGAATAGAATAGAATAGAATTCTTTATTGGCCAAGTGTGATTGGACACACAAGGAATTTGTCTTGGTGCAAATGCTCTCAGTGTACATAAAAGAAAAGATACATTCATCAAGAGTAAGAATCATAAGGTACAACCCTTAATGATAGTCATAGGGTACAATAAGCAATCAAATTATACTAGGAAACAATCAATAAAAATGTAAGGATACAAGCAACAAGGTTACAGTCATTCAGTCACAAGTGGGAGGGGATGGATGATAAGGAGCGATGAGAAGATTAATAGTAATAGTAATGCAGACTTTGTAAATAGTTGGACAGGGTCGAGGGAATTATTTGTTTACGACATGAGTTTGACACCCCTGTGTTACATGTTATGTTTCAAGGAATTCTACTGGGGAATTTTGGGATAAAATGCTACATGTTTAAATGAGGAGTTGTTTTAAGACTGAATTACTTTCCCCAAAGAAATAAAATATACTTTTATTATTTGTTAAGCAATTTAAAGTAGGAATAGCTTACTTTCATGTTTTTCTGGACTGTTATCATTTCAGATTCTATTTTTTTAGATTTAAATGTTATGAATGAATGAATGAATGAGATTTTTTAAAAAAAAAAATCCTCCCAGCCTTCCATCTTTTATGGTATTTGTGTGGTTTGGTCCTTCTGCCCCAGCTAGGCCATGCAGTTCTAATTTTTCAGGCAAAATTAGATTATAAACTTTGCATAAGCTCCCTTATGTAATCCTGGTAGTTCAACAGCAAGACTTAATTAAGAATAAGCAGTGTTATAATCAGATTAATCAGCATGGTACAGATGAATGGGGTCAACTATCACGCAGAGTTAAGTAAGCCAGTGGATTTTTTTTTTTAATTTCTAAGATCTGAGTGCTTCTGTCTTCCCCCTTCTCTCAGGTTAACTGCAATGGCTTCACAATTGAAGATGAAGAACTTTCACATTTGGGATCAGCAATATTTCCCGAGTAAGCATTTGAGTAGTACTGTATTATTTCCCCCCACGAATTAATGTTATTTCTAATAACAAATGTTAAAAAGATCTCTAGCTTGTTTACAGACTTGAACCAGAAGTCCTTATTCCAACGTGTACTTCAGACACCATTTTCAACTACTCCATGTTCAACCCAAGCGGCTGATTTTCTAGGTAGCATCTCTGCTTCTGCCTTAGGAATGACTGCTGAACAGAAGAACTTGCATTAGGTTAGGTTAGGCAAAGTAAAATAACTTACTTCTCTAACTTAGTATTGTCTACTTCCACTGGCAAGAGCTCCTCCAGAGACCTTCGCTTGAGAGAATGGCCAAAGTTTGGGAATCAGAAGAACTCGGAGAGACTCAGTTTACAAAAACCTGATATAAACTGTAATAGATTTAATAGTCTCATATGGTATATTACAATCTTTTATGGTAGTAATCTACCTATAATGAGAGAAAGCTGTGAAGTAAAGACATAACATTCAATTTCTTTGGACTTCTGAGAACCCAGCCTTTAAACTTGTGAATAGATGCAAATGGAGCATCAAACACTTCAAAGGCAAAACAAAAATATTGCATGCACAAGGATTCGCCAAAGCCTCTGGCCTCTCTAGTTAAAATCCTCATAGAAAATGAAGATGCTGAAATATCAAAAAGAAACAGAGAAGAGTTCCAGTTGGCCAACTGACCCATGGAGAAAATGGAATGTGCCTCCCCTTTTACTTGCTTAGCTTAGATAGTGTTGAGGTTCAGGCTAGATATTCTTGAACTACTTGTTGGTGCTTGGGATATACAGTTGGGACTGGAAACCTGACTATGTCATTGGGGTTGTAAGTTGAGGTCCTGTGTTTTGTTTTGTTTTTACATTTTTTCAGTAGCGATTAAATGAGTCATGCAAATGTTAATGGAATGGTACAGTCTTTAAGTGAACCCATTATTCTGAATGTTTTTTTTTTTTGCTGGAAACTGGCCAAAACTACTGGAAACCAACAAAAAAAAGTAGCAAATCATGATTGTCTGACCACAGGATGCTGCATTTGGTCATAAAAGTGAGCCAGTTGCCAAATGCCCAAATGTGGTCACATGCAGAAGTGGTATTCAGCAGGTTCTGGCCAGTTCTGGAGAACCGTTAGTGGAAATTTTGAGTAGTTCAGAGAACTGGCAAATACCACCTCTGACTGGATATTTTACAGTATCTTTCCCCTGCCATGCCCACCAAGCCACGCCCACAAAACCAGTAGTAAAAAATTTGAATCCCGTCACTGGTCACATGACTTCGTTGTTTCTCAGTTTTTAGCAATTTGCAGGAAGGAAGTGCAGGACATAGACCATGAAGGAGACTACAAATTAATGACTTGGCAAAAAGAACCTTGAAGGTCATCATGTACACCAATGGGGCATTGATCTTCATGTCTTGAAACAATGAAATCAACATTGTCCTTTGGGAGTTGGAATGTGGGACCTGTGGTTCAACTATGATCGAGTCTGTTATGACTTATACTGATGTTTAGCTACAGAAGGTGTTGCTATAGAATAATCATTTCTGTAATATATTAACACTTGGATATGACTTATGACCACAATTGAGCCCAAAATTTCTGTTTTTAAGTGAAACATTTTGCCCCATTTTATGACCTTTCTTGCTATAGTTGTTAAGTGAATCACTGGATTTTATATAGTTAGTAACACAGTTGTTTAGTGAACCTGGCTTCCCCATTGACTTTGCTGGACACAGCAACGGGTATAAGTATGGACCAGTTTCCAAGCTTCTGAATTTTGATCACATGATCTTTGGGATGATTCAAAGGTTGTAACTGTGAAAAATGGTCATAAGCCACTTTTTTCAGTGCCATTATAACTTTGAATGGTCAATAAATGAACTATTGTAAGTCAAACAACAACCTGTATAGAAAGGTTTGCAAATTCACCACCCCACCTCAAACCAGGCACAGTGAAAGTACTATAGTACAGTTGCTTCAGTGAGAAAGTTAACACACACTGAACTCCGTTTCTTTAAAATAACTTGTGATTTTAATTCCTTTAACTACATGTATACAAACTTCATTTTGCTTATTTTAAAAAAAATCCTGTTTTTCTCAGTGTGGCACTTATGAACCACAGTTGTTGCCCCAATGTGATTGTTACCTATAAAGGGACAGTGGCCGAAGTCAGAGCAGTTCAAGAGATTGAAACAGGCGATGAGGTATGTGCAATTTTTATGTGCTTGTGTAACAAATACGTTATACAAGAATGTATAACAAATATGTTGCATATGTTGCACAGGGAAAGGCCAAATGTTTTGTTTATGCAATATTGCTGAAATAAGTAATATCAAGTTTATGGTATCTCATTTGCTTAATCTGGTTTCTAGTTTTAAGAGAGTGACTCTAAGAGAGTGACTGGAAGAGAGTGACTCTACATTTTGAGAAGTGGAATACAAAAAAAGAGAACATCAGAGCTGAAAGGGACCTTCTAATCCAGGGGGCTTCAAACTTGACAGCGTTAAGACTTGTGGACTTCAACTCCCAGAATTCCTCCTCCAGTCATGTTATCTCAGGAATTCTGGGAGTTGAAGTCCACAAGTCTTAAACTTGCCAAGTTTGAAGAGCCTTGTTCTAATCCAGCCCCTTGCCCAAGCGGGGGATCCTATACCTTTTCAGACGAATGGTTATCCAATGTCTTCTTAAAAACCTCCAGTAATGGAGCACCCACAACTTCTGCAAGCAAGCATTCCCACTTATTAATTTTTCTCATTGACAGGAAATATTTCCTTGGTTTTAGGTTCGATCACTCCTAGGTTCTAGGTTCGATCACTTCCATCTGTTACTTTTTATCCTACCCACAGGTGCTTTGGAGAATAGATTGCTCCCCTTCTTCTCTGTGACTACCCGTTAGATATGGGAAGACTGTTATCCAGTGGTGGGATTCAAATATTGTTGCCACTGGTTCAGTGGGCGTGGCTTGGTGGGGGCGCTTTGCGCGAGTGCACACACTTTGTGTGCACGCGCGCGCCAAATGTGCTCTGCGCAGGCGCAGAGGCGTTCTAACTCACCCCCTGCAAGCGTGCACGATCCCGGTCGCTTCAGCAGCTGCCACGCAGCACTATTCTGTGCTGCGCAAAGCAGCTGCGCTTCAAATTCAGCGGATAAAAGTGAGTATGGGAGCCCAGGCAGGCCCAACAGCAAAGTGGCAGAGAGAACCGATTCGGTCTTTGCTCTTCATCGCTCCTACCAGCTTGCCAGAATCGGGCAGAACTGGTCAAATACCACCACTGCTGCCATCATGTCATTCCTGGTCCTTCTCTTCATTAGACTAATGATACCCAGTTCCTACAACTGTTCATTATATGTTTTAGCCTCCAATCCCCTAATCAACTTTGTGGCTTTTCTCTTTACTCTTTCTAGAGTCTCAACATCTTTTTTGTATCACACTGACCAAAACTGGACACAATATTCCAAGTGCGGTCTTACCAGTGCAGTATATCAGGGGTCCCCAACCACCGGTCCGCGGACCGGTACCGGTCCGTGGAACAAATCCTACTGGGCTGCTGGTTTGCTGGCCGCCGCCATCTTGTTTTGATGAAAAAGTGCTTCCGGTGAGCTTTTCCGGGTAGAAAGCCCTTTCTACCCGGAAAAGCTCACTGGAAGCGCTGGGCGCCGCCATCTTGTTTTGATGAAAAAGTGCTTCCGGTGAGCTCACCGGAAGCACTTTTTCATCAAAACAAGATGGTGGCGCCCAGCTGATGCCGGTACCGGGCCGCGGCACCCAGCTGATGCCGGTACCGGGCCGCGGCATAAAAAAGGTTGGGGACCACTGCAGTATATAATGGTATTAACACTTGACATGATCTTGATATTATCCCTCTATTGGTGCAACCTAGAACTGCATTGACTTTTGGCAGCTACAGCACACTGCTGGATCATACTTAGGTGGTTGTTCACTAGGACTCCTATTGGTTACTACCGTGTTTCTCCAACAATACGGCCTCCACCAATAGGAAGCCCCACCATGTTTTATTGGCATAAAATCAAATTAAGCCCCTCCCCCCAAATTAAGCCCCATATTAAACATGCGAAATGGGGGGGAGAGCGGGGGGGGCCTTGCCGTTAGTAAGTACTTTTGTTGCATGCCCGGATATGGTGCTGCCTGCGTTGGTGGGGCACTTCATATCAGGAGACCTTCCACCGTTGCTTCTCCCTTCTCCCTTGCTGCCCCTTCTCCCTTGCTGCCGTGGCGTTTGGCGCGGCCAGTCAGGGCTCCTCCCTGCAACCGGAGCCCTGAGGAGACACTTGGCTTCAGGCGCTCCCGTCTTCCCTTTGCTTTCGAAGGTAAAGTGAATTATTTTACAAAGCCTCCCCTGCCCGAGAGGGCAGCCCAACCCCACGTCGGGAGGCTAATCTCCTGGGGCCTCTTCCGTTCCTCCCCGACCTCCCTACGCTGCGCGCCTCTTACGCGCCGCTCCCTTCAGCCCAGTGAGTTCTTCCACCGCAGCGGGCGGCTGCGGAGCAGCAGCAGCGGGTCTGAGCCGCTCGCAGCGGAAACAGCCACCACCCGTAGCCTGACGCGGGGAGAACGAGCGAGGTTAGCGCCCGCCAGCCCGGGC